GACAGACAGACAGACACGATCCCAAGCAGGCTTCATGCTGTGAGCACAGAGCCCAACGCAGGGTTTGATCTCATGAATGGTGAGATCATGACCTGAGCCAAAATCAGAAATCAGACACTTAACTGACTGTGCCACCTAGGTGCCCTTTGTTTTGTTATTCATAAGACAACTCACACTTTGTAATAATCTTCTGAGTTATTTTTCAAAGCCATATGGAAAAGGCAAGTGCAAAATGATAATATCTTTGTTCATTCGTCCACTTACTCATTCTACAAAATTACTGGGCATCAACTGTGTCCCAGCATGAAGCAAGGTGGTAAGGGTGCAAACACAATTACAGTCCCTCAAGGGACTCAGCTGGTATCACCAACCTATAAGGTAACAGTACCATAAGGTCTTATAAGGATATTTTGAGAGAGAGTGATTATTTATCTTTGGGCCAAAGGGAGACGGCTGGTGGGTTAGGAAGACAGCACAGGGGATATGATGATTGTGCCAAGGATGAGCACATGTGTAGCAGGCAGTGGGAAAGTGTGGAAGGATGTTCTAGGCAGAGGGAGCAGCATAAGGAAAGACAAAATGGAAAACAGCGTAGTGTATGCAGATATCTGCAAGTGGTTCAGTGTGGCTTGGGTGACAGGGAGGTGCTCTTCAATGAAGCTAGAATAGAGGAGAGTAGGTTGGGGTGAAAATATGAGAGGTTCAGTTTGGATGTGGTTTTAGGGCCTGAGGGCCTCCAGAAGAGTCGCCAGTAGGCATTTTCAGGAGTGCAAGAGAGGGCCCTGGCCTAGCCTCACTTCAGAGAACCTGGTTGTGTCCCTCCTTCAAATACACCTCTACATAAAGGGCCAAGAGGACATCCTACCTAGAACCCACATTCCCCCACCCCTTAAGACTATTCTCTGTCCCTAGGATTACGGGATTCCTTGATCAAATAGCACTGACCCTGCTTCCCATGTAGGCTTCCTCCTCAGGTCCACTCTCCAAAGAGCAAACTGTATCTCTAGGGTGCATGTCTCTAGGCCTTGAAGGATGGACAAGAAGCAACTATTTGTGGGGCTGTATATGGAGCCTACTCAGGACCAAAGTGTCCACACAAGTGAATATGCAAGACCTCTCACAGTGTGGATGGAGCTGGCAGTGAGAAAAGAAATGGGTAGGCTGTGGGTTAGAGGATGGCTTCCTTATACTTCCACAATTTGGTCGGTAGGTTCAAGATTCTAAAATTGGCCATGGCTGTCCAGGTGATTATGAAAGTTTATCTCTCAAGGTAGAAGAATAGAACATATTCGTTTGTTAACTTGACTTACAACTTCAACATATTTAACATATGCTATATAAGCATGTTTGTACTCTTGACTGAGTCCACAAATGTTAGGGTCAGCCTGAAATACAATCAGGAGTTTAGGGAAGACTTTACCTCTGGCCATATTTGGAGGTCATCAGCACCTAGCGAATGCTATGGGAGTAGGAAGTTTGCTCAGGGCAGGTGTCAAAGTCATAAGGAAGAGAGCCATGGCTTAAATCTGGAGGCACATTACCCTTTAAGCAACAGGTGCAGGAGCCAGCCAAGGAGCTTGAAACAAATTGCCAGAGAAATAGACGTATTATGAAGGGGTCATTCCCGAAGCCAAGAGAGAAGAGTATTTCATGAGGAATGAAATGGTCAACAATATGGACAATGTATGTAATGTGGTCAGCACAGTGGCTGGCCCATGGTAAGCACCCAATCATCAGTGGCTGATGTACATTACTGAATGTACTAATGATGATGTCAATGATGGAGGTGGTAATGATATCTCTATTCCTCTATGTGTCTTCTTCCTGCCTCAAACACTTTCTCCTCTTTGTCCATCTCTAGTCAAATCACTATCACATTCTCTAGGATGTCATCCCCTTGCCCATTAGGTTGTCCTCCTACATGCTCTCATGGTCTCCTATGCTCATTCTTATCATTGCACAGTCTGCAAGTAATAGGCTACTGGTTTTTATTGATTGAGTGGTCACAGTTTCTAGGGTGCCCAATCACACTGGTTTGCATGAGACTGTCTGGCTTTAGTGCTGAAAGTTCTATGTCCCGGGAAAACCTTCAGTTTTAGGCAAACCCTAGATGGTCACACGAAAATGACATCTCAATTTTTTTGAATGAGCAAATAAATAAAAGGCGGTATGTCAATATCAAAGCTAATGACTCTCAATTTTTCCTATGTATATGAGCATAAGCCCATGCAGGATGTTTTTTCCATATCCTCTTCACCTCAGTTTATCGAACTGAGGATGCTGTGGGTAAGACATTCTCATGACCTGTTTGGATTCCTGTCCCAGCTCTGTTTCGCCCCATAATCCTGGAAAAGGATAGCTTCACTTTCTCAACCAGAGCTCCTTATCCGATCCACAGAACAAGAAAATGATTTGAGTGCTATTTTCTCAATTCTCTCAAAATTGACATACAACATGTGCCATTCTAGATGCATAGGAGAGAAGCTGATGCATACCTTGATGCCTTAGGGTATTTAGGGCTTAATTCTTTCACCTGTCAAGAATCACATAGGCCCTACAATCAAGAATGCTGCTCAGATTGGCCTCTGCACTTGTTGGTTAGCACAGTTGGCTGGAGGAGAGAAACTATGGGAAGGAAATATCAAAGGATGGGGCTTATGTTATCTGTGTTCTGCAAACTGAGGAACTGGGGCCTGGAGAGGAAGTACATTCTCATTTTCCCAAGATGGACAAAGGTAGAAAGCTGTGAGATCTCACCAATCAGGAAGGGGAAAAAGAAAGACAACCAACCGCCTCCTAGGCCTTGACGTGACAGTTGTCATCAACTTTGCTTCTCAGTTGGCAATTGCCAAAGTCAGGCTGCACTGTATGTCATCTTGTGGAAGACAAATGCTCTATAAATAAATTGACTTGGAACAGTCTCAAATACACATAAACCACAATGGCTTTAAATGTAAGTCTTGACTTTTTTCTCATTTTCTTTCTCATCTTGGAGAGGTCAGCAAGGAAGTTTCTGCAAGAGAGGCCTTACTGAAATTCAACCTAAGAAACCAAGAACTTTCCTGTAGTCTCTTTCACACATGCTTCATTACCAAATATTTGTTTAAAAGCTTATTGATTCAATACCTACAACTCTAAGCATGCACCTATATATTACACTTAAGCTTTTGCTTGTTATACGTTATACATGAATCCTTTTAAAAATTCATTTTCTAGAAGAGGTGATTATTCATTTTGTCATTCAATTTCCTATCATTAAAAATTTCATATGTAAAATCATGCATGCTGACGGGGTACTGTGTGAATAGAGAATATTTTTAGTGACTAAGCTGAGAGAAAAGATTGTTGATGGCTTTTCCATCTGAGGAAGAATCAGAGACAAATGTCTGAGGAATACCTTGAAAGACGTGAGAGCTACCAGAATGAACAGTACAGGAACCATGGCCTTAGGTCTGTGTCTCCAGCTTAGATTCTGAAGCAGAGGTACCCACTTTTAACTAACATTCTCAATGGTATTTCATTTGTGGGATAAAGTTAATTACCTCCCCCACCCCCGCCTCATCACATCACTACATTGGCAAGGACAGTAGAAGCACAGGATCCTGAGTTTTCATTAAATAGCCATTCATCTGAAAGGAAGGTCACAGTGCTGCCAATACTAATTGAAAGAGCACTTACTTTATGTCTGATTTACATGACTGAAAGAAAGAGGATCCATCCCTGGCCTAGTAAATACTTTTGATGGTATGAAGAAATGTCTAAATAGGCTAAAGGAGGTTAAATTTCACTGAAGCTTTCCAAGTATGTGCAGATAGCAGTTACAGAACATCTTGGTCTTGCTGGGCAAACTTCTCAGTAGGCAAGATTTCACCTTAGCCTGCTAAAAATGCTGCTTGCTTAGGTTTCAAGGGTCCACATGCCTGTGCTTTTTACTGGGAAATTTTAAGGGTTTAATGTGGCCTAAGATTCTTCTGGACAGCAGCTCTACCAACAACCTTCTTGAGGAAATGCAGTCTGAGCATTAAACCCTAGTTTCTTCCTAACTTCCCAGCAACCCTCTCCTGTGCCTGGCGGGTTCTAGTAATGCCTAATCACTGGCAGCTCCTCCACCAGGCCATGCAATCAAATTGCATGCCTCTTGGCCTTTGCTCTGTTTTCTTTCATCTGGAACTTACTTCTCTTTTCCTCCCTGCCTTTTGCCTGTTTCCTAGGCCATTTATCATAACAGACTCAATGTAGGAGTTATCTTCTTTAGACATCCCTTTTGGAACCTCTGTGGTGCGCTAAGGTCCTCTCCTCTGTGCCTTGTAAACCCCTTCTATGGTAACAACTACACTGCAGTCAAATTGAACTCACACAGGTGTTCACTATCCGATTATTAAATGTTCCAGGTTATGAATATGCTTACTTATTTGGGGTGGGACTAAGGAGCTAATTAAAAAAAAATGCATGTGATAAAATACACATAAAATTGACCACCTTAACCATTTTTAAGTGTACAGTTCAGTAATATTAAATACATTCATAATGTTGTACAAATATCTCCACCATCCATCCTTATAACTCTTTTCATTTGTAGATATGAAACTCCATACCCATTAAACAGTAACTCTCCAGTCCCCCTGCCCCAGACCCTGGTAATCACTATCTAATAATCTAGTGGTAAGCCCCTAGTAGATTACTATCTGTCTCTGTGATTTTGACTACTCTAAGTTCCTCATATAAATGGAATCAGGGGTGGCTAGGTCGGTTAAGCATCCAACTTCGGCTCAGGTCATGATCTTGCAGTCCAAGAGTTCGACCCCACATCGGGCTCTGTGCTGACAGCTGGAGCCTGTTTGGGATTCTGTGTCTCCCTCCCTCTCTGCCCCTCCCTGTTCTTTCTCTCTCTCAAAAATAAATAAACATTTAAAAAAAATGGAATCATATAGTATCTCTTTTTGTGACTAGCTTATTTCTCACTTACCACATAATGTCCTCAAGGTTCATTCATGTGGTGGCATGTTGTAGAATTTTCTTCCTTTTCAAGGCTGAATAACATTCCATTGTACGTATATACCACATTTTGCTTATCCATTCTTGTGTTGCTTCCAAGTTTTAGCTATAGCGAATAACGCTGCCTTGAATATGGGCATACCAATAGCTCTTCAAGATCTTACTTTCAGTTCTTCTGGGTACATACCTAGAAGTGGAATTGTTGGATCATATGGGAATTCTCTTTCAATTTTTAAAGAGACTGCCATACTGTTTTTCCACAGTGGCTGTACCATTTTAGGTTCCCATCAACAGTACACAAGGGTTCCCATTTCAAGGAGTGAACTCTGACAAGTTTTTTTAAACGTCCGTTTAAATCTGAGAGGTTGGAGACACAAATGGGCAAATTTGTAATGAGGGTAAGGTATATTACAGTGACCACTTGGGTGCTTACCCTGTGCCAGAAACTTTAACATTTTACATTAATCTAATTTTCATATTATTCTAATCCTTACGATAAGCTTTTGAGATAACTATTACCTCCATTTTACAAATGAGGCTAAAGATTAAATGACTCCTCCAAGGTCACACATCTAACAAAGTGGACCAACCAACACTTGCACCCAGGTCTGACTCCAAACGAGGACCCTTTATTCCACACTATCAAGGGGCTTTGGGGGTGACTAATCCGACAGAATCTCGGAGAGGTGGTTTCTGAGTGACTTTTCTGGGAAAGGACCCCCTGGTAAGAAAGGCGCATGGCAAGTCCAAACGGAAGACCCTTTCGGATTAGTCTCGCAGCTAAGCAGCTGCATTTATCCTTACCTAGATTTTTATTGGTTTCGTGGAGTAAAATGGAAAACGTGTGACCTCCACGAGGCCGAGAAGCTGAGCGCGGGGTACAGGTTTCCTGGGGTCTTTCAGCGTCATTCTTTATCTGCCTAAGGTGTTTTCGCCTACCCCTGCACAAGGGGCGGGAAAGTGTGTGTGTGAGTGTGGGAGAGAAGGATGGGTGGAGGAGGAAGGTTCTCCAGCCAAGCGCAAGGGAAGCGACTCTGCCGCCTGGCGCAGTTGCCAGGACAGCGCGGCCAGACCAGCAACGGCAGAAGCCGCACCGCGTCCCGGCGGCGGCTGCGAGCTCGAGTGACGCATTGCAGGTACGAACCAGCCAATCGGAGGCCGGCTCAACGATTGTCGGACTACAAATCGCCACCACGATGCTCCTCCGCGCCGCAAAGTAGGGCCCTTCGAGCGCGACTCCACTGGCCTTTCAACGGGCTGGCTGGAGAGTGAAACCCACTCACGTCATTCGTTCGCCCGCTTCCCTTTATCTCTTGCCTCGTCGAGTAAATAACAATGGATAAATGAGTCTTGAAAAGAGTTAGAGAGGAGGGGGTTGGCCGGGACTCGTTTGCGATGTTCCGTTATCTGGCATGCGGCGGAGGGATCTGGCGGAGGGAGGTGTTTATGAGGCGCTGGGGGCGGAGGAGGAGAATTAGTCCGAGTAGGGCGAGCGAGCTGAGTGGTTGTGTGGTCGCTTCTCGGAGACCGGTAGCGCTTGCAGCATGGTGAGTGCGTCGCTAAGCTGCCGACGTTTGGCCTGAGGTGGGGGGGGCGAGATTGAAGCGAATTTGTGAAAGAAAGGGAACTCTGCTCCCCCACACCCATCAGGAGTGGTCTTTGCCAGAGAGATGGCGCGAAAGAGACTGGGGGCACCGCGGCGGTTGCGTCGCAGGTGCTCCCCCATCCTTATTCTCCTTAGGGAGGTGTCCCCCGGCGAATTGGGGGCTGGGAGCATTGCCTACGAGGCAGCGAAGCTCCTCAGGGGCTTGGCTGGGTGAGGATCATAGATCCGGGTTGAGGGGTAGCCCAGCACATGGTGGAGGCGAGAGAGTGGAAGGGCGGGGGGTGAGGGGGCAAAAGCCTCGGGTCTGGCATCCCGAAAGGTCAGTCCTGGGGTTGGATTCAAAAGCCCAACGGACGGTTAGTGCTGGCGCCAGGAAGCGCCTTTGTCCGCTTGCGGCCGCCATGCGCCGAGGGGGCGGGAGGGAGCGCGAGGCCCGGGGTGAGCGCCAGCGCCGCCG